ACTTGCAAAAATGCTTTTGGCTGTCTGCTCCCAAACTGTAGGAGAAGAAACAAACATGAACTTGCTACAGTACTAGCAAGTTTGACAAGAGGAAAAGCCATAACCAGCCTTCCCTTTGCATGGCTGCAGATGAGCTAGGAAATCAATTTTGGCACAGCAAAGTCTTCTATGGCACTTCTCTTATATATAAAACCCCGATAAAACAAATTCCTGAGATGGAGCAGACAGAGTTTGACATCTGAAGCTGTTTCAGTACAAGACAGGTTCCTATCTGGAGCTCTATGTAAGAAACACCAGGACCTTTCAGCCATTTTAACATACAGAAATCTCTGCCTTCCATTCTGCCAACTTTTGCCCAGAAAACACTTCCTATTTGTTTCCTCTCTTTCTCACATCATTGGACTGGTGTAGCAGTGTGTCACTATGCCAGCAGTGTACTTCACTTGAGGCCAGGGCAGCTCTGCACCCAGCTTTCCCTTCCACACTGTGACAGATGCCTCTTCACAAGCTGTTCCCGCTCAGCCATCGTGCAACACAACGCAGTGAGCTCCCTACATCCCTCTGGGATTCTATCAAGTCAGTATTTCAACCTAGTCCATCACTAACCCATGTCCTTAAGTTCCACATCTACATGTCTTAAATCCCTCCAGGGATGGTGACATCACGTACTATGAGAAAGTTTACATACAAGCTCATAACCCTCAGTTAAGGAAAGTCTCATGTATTTCTTTAGGGAAAATAGAGATAATAAAATGTCTACATTGCTACTTTAAATAATATTGAACCATAACTTTGGGTAATTGTGCTAGTTTGAGCTGAAGTAGAGTTAACTTTCTTCACAGAGGCTGGTATGAGGCTATGTTTGGGTTTTGTGCAGAACACAGAGTTGATAATGCAGAGATGTTTTTGTTGTTGCTGAGCAGAGCTCACACAGAGTCAAGGCCTTTGCTGCTTTCCGTACTGCCACACTGGCAAGGAAGGTGGGGATGCATGGGAGATTGGGAGGAGACACAGCTGGGACAGGTGACCCAAACTGACCAAAGGGATATTCCATACCATATGACATCATGCTCAGTATATAAGGTGGGAGGAAGAAGGAAGAAGGGGGGACATCTGGAGTGATGGCGTCTGTCTTCCCAAGGAACCGTTAAGCGTGATGGGGCCCTGCTCTCCTGGAGATGGCTAAACACCTCCTGTCTGTGGGAAGCAGTGAATTAATTCCTTGTTTTGCTTTGCTTGTGTGTGCAGCTTTTGCTTTCTCTGTTAAACTGTCTTTATCTCAACCCATGAGCTTTTCTAGCTTTTATCCTTCTGATTCTCTCCCCCATCCCGCTGGAGGGGGAGTGTGTGAGCGGCTGCGTGGTTCTTGGCTGCTGCTGGGGTTAAACCACAACAGTAATTAATTATGCTATTTTTCTCTCTTTTCCATTTCATAAGGGTCATCAACCTTTACAGCAAGTTCTGACACCATCAGGTGTGAGCACAACTGTAAGGTGGATTGGGAATTCAACAAGGACACTATATGCTTTTGCTTCACTTGTACTCAATGTAACTCTAAACTAACTCAATGTAACTGGATGTAACTCTATGTAAACCCAAATGTAACTCAATGTAACTCAATGTAACTCTAAATTAAACTAGGTAAAATTTTAGCCCCATTTGACTGGCACATGTCATGCACAAGAGTAATCCTTTGCAACATTCTAATGCAGTCAGACGAGGGCATGAACCCTAAAACAGTTCCTCCACAACTCTGCAGGTGCTCAGCAATGAACTACGTAGTCTTTATTTATAAATCTTGTGCTTCCCCCCCAGCTAAATGACTTCCTGACACTCTTACTAGCATTTAAGCAAAATGCATCCCAAGCCAGGATGATGAATTTTACATGAGGTAGGCAGTGTTATCATGGAAGTGAAATAACCAGAGCACTGTAACAATCATGGGCATGTTTCAGTACACAAACATCTCACCACACACATTCATTTCAACATGTTCTTTGCCATGGCTGGTCACACCTGAACTTTTCAAAGGGTTCTATGGTTCTCTGAACTTCCAATGTGCATTTGAAGGAATTATGCATGTCCTGACACTAGAGAACCCAAGTTTTAAGACTTGTTTTCAGTATGTTCCCTGCAGTCTTCCCACCACACCCCCATCTTCCAACAATATACCTCGGATCAAATACAAATTTGTTGACAGTCTATTGACAAGTGCACAGAAACCCAGGTGTGTCTGCAGGCAGAGTACAAGAACAGTTTTGCTGGAAAATTAAGGGCAGGTGCCTCATTTTGTGACACAGGGTATGAATCTGTCCTCCAGGGTTGAAAAGAGATGTTGTGCACCTGGAGCTGTGTGCTCTGAAAACACCGAACACCTGACACTCTGAAGAACAGTAATTTAAAAACCAAAGGTCTTATATGCTGAATTCTAACTCTCATTTGATTTGAGAGGTGTTTTATAACTCGTCTAACTTGCATGACATCCCCTCATAGCAGTCCTATACTACTCCTAATTTTACACTGATGTAAGTAAGATTGACTGCCCATGACTAATTCACTAATTTCCCATTCTTTAAAGGCCCATTCCATTGCATACCCTCTTTTTCTCCCTGCTGTTACCGAAGTTGCAATTCACTTCTGCCACTCAAGTTTTACCTGCAGGAAAGTCCATCTGTTTCTCATGAATTAATAAAGATCGTTACTTATGCCTTTACCTAGTGTTCTGCTTTCCATTTCTTCATAGGGATTTTGAACTTGAAATGTTTATAGAAATACCCTTCAGACAACTGTCAGGTCATTGGTGCTAACAAAGGAATTGTGCAGAGAGGTATCTCTTCCATGCTGTGAAGAGAAGGGATGATCAATGCCCAAGCACATGCTGGGATTCATGTCTCTGGATTCTGCTGCAGTATTTGAACATTCATTAATTTGGCTGAATCAAATGTTCAATGCATTTTTATCTTCAGAATATTTATTCTGGGCATGGGTTGAAACAGGCTTGTATGATTTCTTATGGGGTTTAGTTTTCCTAAAGCTGATGAAGATTTCATGATGCTCATTTCATGATAACTGTTGTTGTAACAACACTGTTGTCTCTATATCTTCCAGCACCACAAAGAACAGAAGGCAGGATATTCCAGGTCAAACAGCCAAACAAGGCCCCTGTAGAGAATCTATTTTTGTGCTCCTAACTGGGACCCAAGGAAAGCACAGTGCTACATTTTCAGAATGGGAACCAATCTCACATTTGCAGGCTTAGCTTGTAGTCACAGGTAGTTAAAACACAGGATTGAGGTCACTGGTGGAGCCAACCATGGCCACAGTCACAACACATAAATGTTGCTACTCAACCTCACTGTCCATGGACTTGTAGTGGGGGCACATACTCAGGCCCTGATCTATCATCCACCTTAAGGAGAGCAACTTCAGGGCACTACAGAAGATAATTAAAACATGAAGGAAGGTAGTTTGGAGTGTGTGACCTGTCTGATGCTAAAATTGCTCTAGAATAGTTACTTCTGAGAGGAAATACCTCAGAGATGTGAAATGGATTCTTGCTGAAGCTGTGCAAAACTTGAGTATTTCAAAGAAAATATATTTTGGCTGTCAGATGTAGAAGTGGCAAGGTAGGAGGTCTCAAAGGGAAAAAGATTTCCATCATCCCTATATTCAAGTAAAATAAGATCTGCTTAAAAATATTTTCATTTCCTTCGTATCTATGCTGAGACAAACTATAGAAATTTCAGCCAAAAATGAGAATTTTTGCAAAAGCCAAGGATACAGATATGGCAATCTGTAAGGAGAAATTATTAATTTACTTTTTACTGCATCAATATTGCATATAAATGATGCTGGCTTTGCTTCCCCACCCAGCTTTATTGCACACAGTGAATTGAAGCATTGAGAAATGCCACACAGCTAGAAGATGTGATGTGCTAAAGTAATGGATCCAGCAATGTACAATATGTATTCTGAGAAGTTATAAATGTTCTATCCATTATTTATTCCCTCCAGTACTTTACTGCAACATAAAAGTGTAATAAAATTAGCTGCAAGAGGTTTATGTTATAATCTGCTGACAATTGTTTGGAGGGATTTTCACAGTAAGGGTGAAAATATAAACATCTTCAAGGCAATAAAAAGCATTACAGCAAAACTTCCCTTTGGTGTGAAAAATATTGACAACCGTTCTTTTCTCACTCAGAGGAAAAATATGATGAAGTTTTGGCTGTTTGTAAAAAGTGGAATTCTTTAAAGTTGTGCTAGCCCTTGGACAGTGGAATGTACCTATTAAAGGAACAGTGACTGCACCATGGATCAGCATCTTTTACAGCACCACATGTTAACTTGTTGCTAATAATGTTCAGTGCTTTGTGAACCAAAAAGATCACCAAATTCTACCTCCATCACTAAAAAGCACAGCATGAAAAACTGTATTGGCTTCTACATGAAAACTGGCAAAGATTTGTGCCTCTGCAGGGTCTCTCACTACTCCAGGGGTAACTGAAAGGACTAACTCCTACTCCATAGGCACAAGATTATGAAAAGGGCTTTCAAATGAGCGAATGAGTAGCTTCAGATTTCCTTGCTAAAGCATAGCCCCAAAGATTTCACAGGCATGAGGAAAACACTGGCTAAAGTCTGTTTAAATTATGTTCAAAACCACAAATATGAAAAATATTCTCAGCTTGCTTTTCCCAGTTAAATTGTGGATAAACACACTTTCCTCACTTGAGGAAGGATGTTAGCAGTGGATAGGCTTTCCATTAGCTTCCTCACTTCTTTTACTATTTGCACTACAAATATTTTTTCTCTCTGTCTCCACACTGGCTCTTTGACAAAATCTTAGCTTACTTTTTACTCCTTTCACTATTGTTCACTGCCCAGCGAAGTAACTTTGCGGTTTGATAGTCAATATTCATGAAGGAGAACTAAGCCAACAAACAAAACAAGTCACTAACTGGGTTTGCAGCAGCAGAACCTTTGGGTCCATCACTTACCACCCAGGGTTTGTCACAGAAGTTGTAGATGGACTCGAGGGAGTTGACACTGGGGACTCCAGCATACTGCATTCCAATGATCAGGTTACGGAAGTCCTCGTGCTCTGCCATACTGAAGGAATGTTGTCGAACAAGGACAAAGTCAGGCCTGAATGACCTAGCAGGAAAAAGATACATTGTTCATAGTCAATGATCAAATTGCTTTTCCTTCAACAGCAAAGTGTCTGGCTGATGGACAGAGAAGGGCTGGAAGAACACTCAAACCAAAGGAAAATGCTAACAGATGGAAAGAGTTATGATGGCTTTATGAAAACCTGCACGGCATCACTTCTTCACTGCTGTTCAGAGAACATCAGCATCCCCTCAATATAGCAACTCCATTAAAAGGAGGGAGAAATGAACATTTATCTTTGGATTTCGGGTGCTTTCCCACAGAAAGAGAAATCACATATATAAACTCTGAGTATGTTCTAAGTTTGTCTACACCAGTTTCTGAGAAACAACAATCAAAACCAAAGCAGGCAAATGGCTCTGCCAGAGACTTACGCTTTTTGGGAACAAGTTTTTTCACAACTATTGTCAGGCTGTTTTAAAGACAGTAAGAGATGAAGCAACCCCATTGCCAGCAAAAGGCATCATGCCATAATGGAGATAGTCACAGCTCTACTTTTGATCAAGACACTTGTGAAAATTAATTTCTAAACTTACATTTCCCCCCTTTTTCTCTCTTGTAACTAATCAGCATTTCCTCTCCTGCAATCTCCATGGTTTCCTGTCCTATCACCCTGCACCTCTGCCAACAGACTGACACCATCTTTACCTTGCTCAGAGCCTCACATTTAGTTACTGAAGAAGGTTATGGAAAGTAGAAAACATAGTACAACAGGACAGAGCCACCAGTACAGGGGCAATTTTCTCCTAAACTTGACTGTTGAAAGATTCTCTTCTGTATTCCAATTTTGTAGGTGGAAAAACACCCTGAGTAGCTTGAAGCTATCAACCTCCTGAAAGAGGTATAACTGCAGGGTAAAGTAAATTAGAGTAATTATTTACAGGTCTTGAATAAATACCAGCTGTATACTGGAGTGAGAAACTCTGAAGATTACCAAATGGTTCAGAAGGTTCACTCTAGCAAAACAGAACAAACCCAAACCAATTAAAATCTATGTTAAAATTTCTTTAGCAGTTTTGAGATTCCAGCATGAATGCATTAGTCAGAGTAGATTAGCTGGGCTCTGAACTTGGCTTTCAACCCACAGAATCATAGAACAGTTTGGGCTGGAAGGGACCATAAATATCAACTGGCTCCACTCCCTGCCCTGGGCAGGGACACCTTCCACTAGCCCAAGTTGCTCCAAGCCCCATCCAGCCTGGCCTGGAACATGCCCAGGGATGGGGTGCCACAACCTCTCTGGGCAACCTGTGCCAGTGTTATACCACTGACATTGTAAAAAAAAACCAACAACCAATCTTCCATGATTTGACAAAAACAACATTATAGATTTGCTGTCAAGAGTCACTAAAATGGCACCAAATGACCAAAACCTGTAAAGAAACACTTGCCTTTAAACAGGTTTCAGAGAAAATATTTCAGCATAGCTCTGAGAATTTGAGATCTAGATTTCACAGTGGTGTGCCAAGAGTTTGAAACGCAGAAATCCAATTGACTAGCCCAGCATGAGTATAACATTTGGAGGACTAATGATGCCTCCCTTAAAAGACCAATTTAATGAAACAATTGGGGAATTGAGGGAATGCACTTCTTAAAAATAAAGAAATACATTCTGCTTTGCAAAAGCTCCTCAAAGGAATATAATACATTCACATAATGGTTCTAGTTCTGTAATTAATGCTGGACAGAGTGACTGTGTATACAGAAAGTCCTGAGAAAACTTTTAATCCTGGCTCAAGCATCTCTAAGATCCAAAATCTCAACACTATGTAACATAAGACAGAATTTTTCATTGTTTGATTTTCATTAACAGAAATCAAACAAGGAGGTTCTTGTTACACACCTTTCTCCTCCCAAACTAAGTCAGAAAAATGTCACTAAATTTCTGTGATTTTGCTAACTAATATTTTGTCCATAAAACTACAACACAGGTCACTTTGTACCTCAAATCAATAAACTCTCTCCAGCTATCACAGAAATAGGAAACTGGTCTCCCATGACATCTGCATCTCTCTCCCACACCAGACAGCACATGCACACATGCTGCTATCTCACATAGATTGGAGGGACATTTATCAACTTCAGGTAAGTCTACGTGGATATGTAAATTACCCATAAAATGGATATTATTACAAAACCCTTTGTCAGCTCATTATCAGCATTTTCTGATGATGCCTGAAAGGTTCTCTGTTTTTTGACATAAGCAGCAGTTTTACCAAGTTTTTCATAAGCTGCAAATATACACCTCTATAGGTGCTGTTTTCTGGAGGTTCCCAACTCACAGAAACTATTGACATGTTTTGATGCTAACTTGGCCTCAACATTTTTGCTGTTTTTGGAGAACTCTCTACAGAAAAGCTGCCAAGAAACAGTGATCAAGATTTCTTGGCTCCAAAACTTCTATCACTGGGAAAAAAATTCCACCAACCCTAAAAAAATCAAATCTCTTACTCTTCTAAGAAAATAATCTTGTGGATTTGGCACAAGAGTATTGTTGCTGTACTAAGCTGCAATATTTTTAGAACAAACAAGATATTAAACAGTTGTGAGTTTTAAAGCCTAAAGTAAACTTATTTTCAGTATTTTTTTCTGATTTTTTGTTTTTTGTTTTACATGAATGAGTAGAAATTTTGAAGTCTCTATTTGGACAGATGTTGTACAAACCCAGGAAGATACAAGCCATGCTGTATTCTGTCCAGCCCCCAGACCTCTCACTCTTATCCAAAGATAAACATGAGCAATAAACTACCAGGTCCCTGCTGCTGGCTTGATCTACCTTTCTGAATGCAATTGTTAGCCAAACAGCTGCTACACTTCTCTCACATTGAACTGCACCAGCCAAAATAGGAGCAATTCTCACAGTTTAGATAAAATATAGGACTGCCTGATAGAATTTTGCTAATTCTTACCTAAGCTTTTACTTTGCCCAGATATAGCCCTGCTGTCTGCCCTTACATTTACAAGGCTGTTGATGTCCTCACTGGAAAAAGAATGTCAAATTTACCCTGCCTTCAGTTGGCATCATCCTTTTTGGACAAAACAGCCTATTGGGAAATCTCAGGCATTTAAAATGAAATCTCTCAAAAGAGGCAATGATATTCCAGTAACTGCCCTGAGAGAAGTGCTACAACTTGGCCTGTTTCAATAGAAAATATTCAACATTGGAATAAACACTGCTCATCTGGGAAAGTCTGACATGTACACAATCACCAAGACTGTGCAAAGATAAAATCCAAATCAATAACCAGAACTACCAATTACATATTCTTTGTACTGGAGTTCATTCCCTTCTTAATCAAACCTATCTTTCCTAGGATCAAATTCCTGTCACTAACAGGATGTACTGCAGTGATCAGATACTTTGCTTCCCTATTGCACATGCACAGGCAAACCACTGAGCACCTTTTGCATACACACATGGCATTTGTTGCTTTTTGCTGTTAGTCCATTTGGTTTTTCTTACCTGACAACTTTAGTGCCATTTCGAAATATTTGGACATCTACTGCATAATTGCCATCAGCATGAGCTATCAAGTTGATTTCTGAAAACTCTGCCTATGAAAAGAAGGCTCACATTAGTCAGTCTGGTTTATTTTACCTTTAGGATCCAAACTGCTGACAATATACATTGGAAATACAATGAGCACCAAGAGAACATTAATCCAACATTAATCTGCCAAGTACAACACATCATCTTTGAACAAATTCTAATCCAAAGATAGCAAAAAGTAAAAAACTGTTATGAAAATGGACTGTGGGGCAGTAGCAATTGGATTTACCCGTTGATGTCTGCATGGAAATGTAGGGATTATATTATTGCTTTTTATGGAGTTATCAAAGAGATTAATACAGACTCAACATTTGCATAAAGTTTTCAAGAAAACAGTACAAAAGCAGCATTAAAATAACTGCGATAAAATAATATTGTCTCATAGAATTTAGTTTCTCTTCATAGCTTATCCCTTTCCATTTCCCTTATGTGCATTTACTCTGCTTTTTAGAAGATCTGGTGCTAATGAACAATTGTCTTACAAAAATTCACAATAAAAGAACTTTTTCAAAGTATCTTCTCACAGTGGAATTGTGCAATTTAAAAGGAACCACTTCCATACTCTGAATCTACAGCTACTTGAAAGGAAAGGACAGGATGTTTTTCATTTATCCACAGTCTTTCATCAGCTTAGACTCTCAAGGCACTTTACAATAACATTACCCAGCAGAATAATTGAAATGCAGCCAACTGTCTTCTGGGGGATAAATAAAAGGTCTTTGCTGTCCCGGACACCAACCCAGAATAGAGTGTCACAATTCTCATTAGTCTCCTCTTGAAAAATGGTATCACTGGAAGTCTTCCTCAATAAAATCTGTGTAAGGCTTTCACAATTTGGTGCTCAGTTAAGGGAGTGCTGACTGCTCTAACCACTGTTCCAGCTGAAAGATGTGCTTGATTTGCAGTGCTGAGCTCTCTTCATTAAATCCCATGTGCTTATACACCTTCTGGGATCAGTGCTACAATGTGCTAAGCACAGGGGACACTTCTTGGTGTATTGTAAAAACAGCACAGATGGTGAGAGAATGAAATATTTGTGTTTGACAATGTCAAAGAGTCATTTACAACCTATTGAATCTGAGACAACTGATCTCTCTGATTAATAAATTATTTTAAAAGCTTAGTGCACTCTAGAAAATATTGTATGTTATCATAGGTTGCCATAGGCAGTGTAAAAATAAATTCTAATGCTCTGGTGTGGGCAACAGAACACTGACGTAGTTGTCAATAACTATTTGTATTCGATTGTCACAGTGCTGACGTGTTACAAAGTGATGAGTGTGGAGCAGGAATTCCATCTCTCACTGATTAAAGGCAGTTCTGGTCCTACAACAAACCGCAGGAAGGAAATTCCAGGCTGACACCTAGGATTTGCTCATGTTAAAGAGACAGTGTGTGTGATATCAACTGCATGGTCTGATCTAGGTGTGAATGGCACTTTGAGACTAAATAGCTTGTTTTCTTTCTCCTGCCTCTCCCTCAATACTTTTCAAGATCCTTGGCAAAGCTTTCCATGTTTCCAAGCCAAGAGCATCAGTAGATATTCAGTGGTGTAATGAATGGATGCTGTGCCATTATAGGGAATTTAGATAAGCTGGATTCACACACCTAGTGCTAATTTCCCCTCACTCTGAAATTCCATTACAAAACAATTCAGGTTAAGAACCAAAGCTGCTGACAGTAACATCTACTTGTAGAATTCAAGGTTAAAAAGCAGTGGGTAACTTACTTACTTCCCTAGTTTCAGGTGTCTATCTTAAATAAAATAGCCATAATTCTAATGCAACCTGAATTATATCTCCATATTTATTCACAGGGATTTTTTTAACCCACATGGTAACACTGGAACCAGAGCACATGCTTATTCTTAAGCAAGGAATCAGTTATACAGAAATGCCACACGTAACTCATGGAGTGTCTGGGAACTTCACAGTCTCTAAGCAACAACTATTGAATACAAGATGTTTTTCGTGTTGTGCAAATTATGGCCAAAATCATCAAGAAAGAGCTCACATTGAGTGCCAAAAAAGGGCTGTTGTGGTATAAACCCAGCTGACAGCTCAGCCCCACACAGCCACTCGGTCTCTCCCCACCCCAAGGGAATGGGGACAGACTCAGAAGGGTGAAAGTGAGAAAACTTGTGGGTTGAGACAAAGACAGTTTAACAGACAAAGCAAAAGCTATGTGTGCAAGCAGAGTAAAACAAGGAATTGATTTCCCAAGGGCAGGCAGGTGTTCAGCCATCCCCAGGACAGCAGGGCTCCATCATGCCTAACAGTGACTTGGGAAGGAAAGTGCCATCGCTCCCAGCTTCTCCCCAGTCCTTCTTCCCCCAGCTCTATATGTTGAGCATGAGGCCATATGGTCTGGAAAGCCCCTTGGGTCAGCTGGGGTTAGCTGTCCTAGCTGTTTGCCCCCAAGTCCCTGGGCACCCCCAGCCCCTCACTGCTGGGGTGGTGTGGGGACAGCAAAGGCCTGAGCTCTGTGTAAGTGCTGCTCAGCAGTGACCAAAACATCCCTGCACTGTCAACACTGTTCACAAATCCAAGCAAAAGCTATGTGTGCAAGCAGAGTAAAACAAGGAATTGATTTCCCAAGGGCAGGCAGGTGTTCAGCCATCCCCAGGACAGCAGGGCTCCATCATGCCTAACAGTGACTTGGGAAGGAAAGTGCCATCGCTCCCAGCTTCTCCCCAGTCCTTCTTCCCCCAGCTCTATATGTTGAGCATGAGGCCATATGGTCTGGAAAGCCCCTTGGGTCAGCTGGGGTTAGCTGTCCTAGCTGTTTGCCCCCAAGTCCCTGGGCACCCCCAGCCCCTCACTGCTGGGGTGGTGTGGGGACAGCAAAGGCCTGAGCTCTGTGTAAGTGCTGCTCAGCAGTGACCAAAACATCCCTGCACTGTCAACACTGTTTCCAGCACAAATCCAATGCACAGCCCCATGCTAGCTACAAGGAAGAAAATTAACTCTACCCCAGCCAAAATAAGCATATCTGCTTGATTGTGAGGGTGCTGTGAAGTAACAAGTACTGTGTGTCTACCTATACATATATGCATAGGGAAGCATAGACTCTTTCAGGTTGGAAAAGCCTTCCCAGTTCATTGGGTCCAACTGTTCCCCCAGTGCTACCAAGGCCACCACTAACCCATGTCCCCAAGTGCCAGGTCTACACAGCTTCTAAGTCCCTCCAGGAAAGGGTGTATTATATATATGCATTTGTATAAACACACATATAAAAAAATAACATTCAGATTAAGTCAGTTACCTGTTCAACCTTTATGTCATATTCTCCATGGACCTTTTTTCCACGGAAAGCCTTGGCCCTGCAGGAAAAAATGGGAGAAAAAATCAATAGCTGTAATCAGTAGCTATAAAAAAACTTCCTGTATTGCTTTCAAGGGTCTTGAAAATACACATACAAACTAACTGACTCTACCTACTTCACATAAACAATTCTTCCTTTGACATCCTTGGATCCTTAAAATCCCATCAGTCAGTATTTTGTGATACAAAACATAATGTGATTTTCAACATTAAAGTGAAAACATAATGAAATACTAAAAGATACTGAAACACACATTCCACAGCCATTTATTAATCTAAAAGGAGTCCCACTAAACAGATGCAATCTTGCTGTCATTAAGGTGAGTGACACTAGTGTCAACCATTTCCTAATAACCACACATTAATCCTTATCCATGTAGTTTATTAAGAAAAAAACTGATTATTGGAAACACTATGCTTAGCAACTTCACATTGTTGAAAGTGTCAGAGGTACTGAAGACTTGTCAATTTTGTGAGTGCCTGGTTTACTAATCAGTTTTGCTTTCTCTAGGCTATAAATTGAGACAATGTAGTTAATGTGAAGGAGCTTATGAGTAATTATTACGCACCAGGATAGCTGTGATAAAACAGAACTGAATTCCCTGATCCAGTCTCCCAGGCCTAACAAGCGAACATTCCTCTAGGATTGTATCCCTTAGGCAGCATGTGTCTGCTTTGGAGTACATGGGAATTTAAAAATGAGATAAATCTGTAGATAAAAGGGAATTACTCCTACACTGTGTTAGAGTAATTGGAAAAGGGATATGGTATCAGTATCTCTGCATCTTCTTTGCTCAAGCCAAAGCTTAGATTACCTTATATGAAAGCACAATATGTTGCACAATTCAAAACCAGAACACCACAGAACATTGTGTTACAAAAAAGTAACTTTGTCCATTTTCAACATCTGACAAAATGCTATTCTAATACACTGAATCTACCTCACCAGTGAAAGCAAGGCACACTACATAATAAAACCATTTATCGTTGCTTATGGAAAATCTTACTGACACTGTTGTCCAGAAGAGTTTCACTACTGGTTTAAGTAATGGAAGCACCAAACTTCCTAATAATCTGTGAAAACACTGCCTTTGGCAGCATATTTCTTAAGGATCTCTTATGTGTTACAGATAACAGGTGGTAGAAAGCAAAGAAAGCATTTATACTGAAATCACATACTAAAATATTGCCCAACAATCAATTCTGTACAAGTAAGTACCTTGTAAGAAGGAAACTATGAAGAAAGCATCTGCATTATGGGCTAATACTGTATTCTTGCAATAAATACCCATGGAAGGCGAAGTTTGAAATCCGTTGGTTTATTCCTGGAGGTGCACAGTCAGCTTAATGTTCCCAAACACTTTTGCCAATAAGCATAGCAGATGTTAAATATACTGTGTCACAAGTCCAACATAAAGAAATACCATTAATCACTTGCTTTTCTTTCCAAATTTGTTTTGAAATCTCGTGTGGGGAATATGAACATTACCTCTTGAAACCTTTGAAGATGTCTGGACATGGCTTAAGTTTTATATGCTGCTTATGTTGAAGCATCAGCTGGACCATGAATCTTACAGGTGCAGGAAAACCCAGGACATTTGTGCTATTTCTGTGAGAATTCCTCAAGGCCAGACCAGAGAGGAAAGTCTCATGTGCAAAGATAACACCACAACAGCTTTAATGTTTCTTTGAACAAATAAGATTTACCACTTTCAAATAAATATTCAAAACTCCAATTCTAATGCCCATGATTTAACAGCAGAGATCGTGCTGAATTCTAGTGGGAATAAGATGAGCTCCTGGATTTTACCACTGATGCAGCAATAGGTGAGGTAAATGCATAACTGGACATCACACGACACAAATGGAATTTGAACAGAGTTATGTTGGCTGCATTATGGTGCATCTGCCTCTTGAAAACCGAAAAACAAGCTTACAGTACCACTCAGTTGAAAGGTAACTTGAGCAGACACAGAGCTTAAACTTCCCTCAATGCTCTGCCTGACAAATATCAGCAACTGATTATTTTGAGAGAGGAAATGGAACTAGGAACCTGCAGAGAGCCAAAGACAGGCTCTTCTACTCTCTAGCCCTGAGTCCATTGCACATATTGGTTAGTGAGGTAACAAAATATCAATTAACTATTAATTAGTAAGATGCTATTCGTTTAAATTCAGTCCTTCTACTTAAATATCATTTAGAAAAGGCAACCTCCAACAGCGAAGCTCTGGCATGATTCACCTTCCACCAAATGACTTCAGCTTTGAAAATAAACAGTAATTGTGAGAACTAAAGTTAAGCAATCTGGGGCTTGAAAAAATGTGACATTGAAGCATTTAAAGAGTCTTAATTCCAAAGCAGCTTTAACCAATAACTTCTGCAAAAATGCATAATATTCCACAATATTCTCCAAATGTTGAGCCACAAACTGCAAGAATTTATCTTAATACTTCTGAAAAATTACTTAGAGCAAGAACTCATGATTCAGGCATTTCAGAACAAACTCTGAGAAATTCTTAGCATGCCCTGCTTGACTTATTTCTCATTTTCAATACAAAAAATGTGCAATCCTATCATAAAGACATCTATTACATACTTACATTAATTGTTGGTTTTTTTTTTTACTGAGGGGAAATGGGGAACAAAATTCTTTGGTGTTCTTGATGCACAGAATTCCACTCAATTGTAGTTTGACATTCCTGTTAAGCTTAGTTACTCTTGGTACTGAGCATGGATTACCTGCAGGTGGACTCTTGGAGCTTTCAAGGACAGGGGCTCTGGGAGGGGGTTCCAGAGGTGTGTAAGGTGAGCTGCCAGCATGAGTAAAGTTAAAAAACAAATATACCCCAATCCAGGTAACATTTGGCTGCCCATTGCTCATGATTTCTTGCATTGTACACAAGGAAGGGAAGGGAAGGAAAGAAAGTGGTACCATTATCCATCTGAAACTCAAATACTGCTTTCCAAAGCCTAGCTGTAGAGGAAACAGACAGCTACAGTATGGATGCTCCCTACTGGAGTTACTAGCATGATCCCTCATAGTCAGAATCTTTTTGAAATCTGTGAAATATTTATGTATTTCTTCATTCACAATCCATGTTCTGGATGAAAACCTTGCACATGTAAAATTAAACAAGTAGAGAATATGCAGTTGCCATTGATGCAGCCTAACACGAACTCCTAGTACTTACTGACCTTTGGCAAGGTCACTGAATGAATCAGTAATCACTAAAAGTCTTTCAAATATAAAAAATGGCCTGATATATTTCCCTCTTAACTACAGAGCATCTACATACGTTTCCACAGTCTATTACTATGCCATGAAACCAGCCTGGTGTTATTGTGGTTCCATTTCATATAAATGAAGCAGTCAAACTGCTGCTACTTTTCACTGACAGCAAAATCAGGAGGAAAAGGATTTGCTAACCAGCAATAGGTTCATTCAGCAACAGCTCAAAGCACACGTGGGGCCTAGCCCTGCAAACCACCACTCAGGTGTGCAGGCTCCTGTTTTCCCAGCACTGCACAGCCTTAGCACGGCAGTGTTCACTGGGCACCTCAGGGCAGCACTTGGATTCTGATTCCTGTACAAGTAACACAATGTGCATAGGATCCAGTTGTGTGTGACCACTGACTTCTGGGCATGTCTGAGCAGTGAATTTGGACCCAATTCCTGATCCAAGCAATAAGACTGGATGTTCAAAAATAGTTATAGTGCCAGTTTACTTCCACAGGGCAAAGGTTTGTCTATCATTTAGGTTAGGAACACACTCTAGAGCGCACAAATTGCAGGCTGCCAACATCTGTAAACAGCTGGTGTGATTTACTGCAAGGTGTTTTACATATAGAAATATAGAGAGAGGAAGTTGGGGGTGTTTAGCCTGGAGAAGAGGAGGCTCAGGGGAGACCTTATCACCCTCTACAACTCCCTGAAAGGATGTTGGAGTCAGGTGGGAGTTGGTTTTTTCTTGCAGGCAACCAGCAAGAGGACAAGAGGGCACAGACACAAACTCTGCCAGGGGAGGTTTAGGTTGGGTATTAGGAAGAGATTTTTTACAGAGAGAGTGATCAGACATTGGAATGGGCTGCCCAGGGAGGTGGTGAATTCACCATCCCTGGAGGTTTTCAAGCTGAGACTGGATGTGGCACTTAGTGCCATGGTCTAGTGACCACGGTAGGATTGGACTTGATGATCTTTGAGGTCTTTTCCAACCTGGTTTATTCTATGATTCTATGATATGCACACAGGAGTCTCAAATAACTTGTTCACTGGAATTACCACATACATGTAAAAATTGTGCCAGACTAGTGATACAGACCCAGCCTGACTTCCTTGAGCTTAAGTGTGGGACATTAGCCTCAGTGACAGACCAGAAAATGGTGAAGAGAAAGCAAGCCCAGTCTTCAAATCTGAATAGAAAGAAGTAATTATTTAATTAAATCAAAGACAAGTTTTGTAAAGATATGAAAACCCTAAGAGACTGTAACCCTAAGCAAGCATATGGTAAGATTTGCACAGCATTTTCATTCCATGTGAACCAAACCACAATCCACTGAAATCAGTGGGAGTCTCTCTATCAATATCAATGTGCTCTGCTACTGACAGTACCAACATTTGCTGCGCTGACACCCAACCAATCCACGAAGCTAATAAAACTCATCACTTGGAATTGCTGTGGTGGGGTTATCATGACTAAATAGAAGTTCTGAAGAATACATTAAATTTGCTGATTTGCAGACTTGCTTTTATTTGCTTGTTCCACATTTCTGCAACAAGAGACTGATAAGAGACTGTTACAAATAATAAAATATCCTATTCAAAACCTGACTCTTAAAGACCTTAATACTCTTAAATGTGTTACTCAGATTCTGAAAAGGCCTCTTTGGATTTAAAACACGTTCTTTTCGTCTTCTGGACTGTGAAGTTATACTCTTGGCACTTGACCCAGCCAGTATTTCACTCTCACATAGAACAGTTATGTTTGCTCAAGCTATTACT